AAACCCCCCCAAAGGGGGGGGGGGGGGGGGGGGAAATCACAGTTACTTGTCCAAAGCTCTGTTGATATTAGCAATTTGTGCTGCAGAAGTGATTATGAGAGGAGGGAGGAAGGGATGGAGTGAGGTGGAAGAAGCATGCTGGAAGGCACAGGGTGCAAGGACAGAGCTGGAGAAAGGTAGTAGCTGGGTACAGGCTGCCCAGATGAAGAGAGTGTTGGGCCACAGGCAGGAATACAAAATACAGACTGGTTAAAGCCAGCACATCGGGCAATGTGAGAAGGAGATCATGGACAAGGTGAATCTGTGTCTGAAAGGGGAGGTGAAAGAGGGCAGAGGGGCCAGGCCAAGCAAGTGCACCAGAGGGGCAGGCCTCCAGAGGAGGGACAATATTGCTCAGCCGTGATAGGCAGCACTTCACTGTGACATACTGTGCCTGACTCCTGTGGGGCACCTTCCAGGCTCTACTGTCCTGAAGAGATACATCAATGATAGTAACTGCTATGGTTTTGTGCTGAGGCAGTGCAGGGAAAAAAACTGAGGCACTAGAGGAAGGACTGCAAAAGTCAGGAAGATGAGCAATCTACTCATAGGAGCCAGGGTTAGTTATTTTTCATAAGAGCAACAGTGACCTCCAGTGGCTTCTTTTGGTCACAACATGGGAATATTTCCTTCATGGTTACATACTTTCAGAACAGCAGGGGCTCGGTTCCTAGGAAGAAGTGGTCTGAAGAATGTCTCCCCACACCTGGGAGTGCTCTCTGATATAGCTAATGCCTCCTTCCAGATGCCTGAAAGGACATGCCAACATGCAAAAGTAAAAAATCATGTCAGATCCACTCCCGCAAAAACAGATTTTTTTTGAGATCTGTGTTCTTTGGTTTATTTGCTGGCTTTTGCAGAGAGAGAGAGAGAGAGAGAGAGAGAGAGAGTTGGGGGGAAATGCCTTGCTTTTCCCCACGCCCCAGGGTTCTAGTTCTTTCGATGTCCCCAAGCCTCCATCTACCTACCCTCCACAAGTTACTAAGCCCCTGCCCAGCCACATCATTTTTTCCCCACCAACCTCTACAGTCATTCTTTTTTCCATTCCCCTGCCCCCCACCCCCTACATCAATTTTACCTTTCAGGCCTTTCTGCCAGAGGGATCAGGTAGCACAGCTATATCTGAAGGGGCACAGGAAGAACAGCTGCAGTGATGTCCCTTTTTTCCTCTTACCCAGGTGGGGATGCAGCTCCAGGGGTTTTTCATTCCCACCCCCCCTCAAACCTGGAGTTGCCAGGAAGGAAAGGGAGCAGTGACCTATTTTCAATCCCAGAGGAGGGACTAGAGATGCCCTGAGTCACACTAGGCTCCTTTCTTCCCCTCCTGTGAGACTGGTATCAGCTACTCACTCTCCTACATTAAACCTCTCCTTCTGCTGGCAGAACTGGCATTCGCGGAAGGGGAGGAGCTAAAAACATTTGTTGCCATATGCCACATCTCCACGAGGGGGCTCTGCCACCATAGTTCTGTGGGCACAGCTGTGCCGGCAGCAGCCCTGTAAGATAAATAGGCAAACTCTTACTCTTCCCCATTTTAGGTTGGCAATCCCTTGCTGACATAGCAGCCTCTGCTTGTGCACCAGTGTGCGAGAGAGATAGAGAGAGTGCTCAGATCACCCCACCTTTCCCAGCTGAAGACCTCTGTTTCCATGTGGGCTGTTTATAGCTGTATTTAAGGGTACCATATGTTTTTTCCCGGAGTCCAATGAGTTCAGTTTTCGGTGCCAGGTAGAATCCAAAGTTCCAAACTCTATGAAGAAGGCAAATAGCTCCCTCGTTATCTACTTTTACATGCAAGATGCATAGCTGCAGGTTAATTAAGATGTGATCATAGGCTAATTTCAAAGGGAAGAAGGAATCTCCCTTGATTACTTTGGAAGCAGTTGGTTATCATACTGTGTCTTTATTGAGAACAATACAGACTTAGTTTTATAATTCCCTATGCAGTTAGAAATACCCATCTGGACCAGAGTGTAGCTATTGCTACCAGATACCTGATACATTTGCCCTTTTTTTGCTTTATACTTTGGCAGCATTTCTGTAGCTTGTCATATCAATGCAGTATTGCTGACTTGAATTGCAGGTGTGATTTGTATATTTAAGTGAAGCATGGCCTTTGCAAAATGTGTATGCAATATACAAAAATCTTAGTGTGTAAAGGCAAAACATGCATCTATCTAGCATGCATTTGTGAGGGGTATATTGATATGCAAAGTGTGTATTCCTATTGTGATTAAGAGGAGGGGGCATCCATGGTTATGTGCATAGTAAAAGCTTAGGAGGTGTGTGTGCATACATGGAACTAGAGGTAAGGACATTCTGCACCATGCAATCTTATAAAGTCCAAACCCAGCCCTTCAGCTTCCAAGCCTCCATCACAGTGCTTAAATAGTAACTGTGCTGCTGTTTGTCCTTTAGTTTGAAATGAAGCTGAGTATTTGGGAAGAAGGTTGGAAATGAATCCCGTGAACACCTCTCCCAGGTAACCATGGCCAAAGCACATGGCCCAGGGCACCCTTATTTGTAGCAAGTTTCTTGCGGGGGGGGGGAGGGGGAAGGGGGAGAAGGCCAGGCCAGGCTCCCTCCATGCATGTTACAAAACTGAGAATTCATTGGGCCACATGAGAAATCAATTAGGAATTGGGGGCTGTGGGCTGGGGAATGAATTTGTCTGTTCTATTGGCTCTGGCATAGCATGATTGCTGAGCAGCTACATGTTACTTTATTTCCTTGGTTGACATAAGAGAACAATTTTTATAACTACTGGAGGCGATGGGTACTTGCCATGCTTGGGGGCATGCAAATACCTCAGGCACGCAGATGCATACACACATTCAATGCACTGGGCCATCAGCTTCTTAGCTGGGTCCCCTTTGACCAAGGGGACACCAACCCTGTTAGTGTTAGGAATATAGTATTGGAAGGGACCTCCTGGGTCACTGAGTCTCATCCTAATCATGTGATTTTTTCATAAACTGACCAAGTTCTGTCTTAAAACTGACTAGGTTTTTGCCCCCGCTACTGTTACTAAATGGCACTTGGAAAACCTACCTGCTCTGGTGATTAGAAACCTTCTTTGTGTTTCCAGCCTAAATGAATTCATGAGCACTTTACACCCTTTTGTTTTTGTGCCACCACTGTTTGATTAGTTTAAAGAGCTCTTCTTCCTTTCTTTCTGATGTTTATCCCTTGATGTGTTAATAGATAGCAATATTATTCGCTCTCAGCCTCCATTTTGCTAGGCCAAACAAGCCAGGCTCTTCTAGTCCCTCATACAGTATGCTCCCCATCGCCCTTCTCCACACCTGTTCCAGTTGGAAGTCGTTGTTCCTGAACACAGGTGACCAGATTTGTACACATGATTCCAATTTAGTTTTATTTTTTGTTTATATCTTTACAGAAAATGGCACATAAATCACAGGTTCTGAATGACTAGAAGTTGTTACAGTTCCATACCTCAAACACCTCAATACGGAAGTCTTTTCTCACTGTATGTACATTATTTACACACCATGGGCTATAAACTAACACGTCAAACAAACTGGGGACAAAGACGAACAGAGATGCATGAAAGGGGAGGATCAGCCTTTGACAGAATAAAAACAGTAGTTCTGGGGAAGGATTGCTCACAGTTTACAGCAGGACAGAAAGGGACATGTGGAGTCACTGTCCTGGGGCCTTCATGGAGGGCAGTCCCTCACTAGGATGGGAAGGCAATGTTAGCATGGAGCTGTGAAGCTGTGGGTCTGTGTATTCATATGGGATTCTGGGTATGAGGAATATGTACATATCACAGTGTTTGTGAGTTTATGTGCATCTGTGGACATGGCTGAAGCTCCCTTTGAGACTCAGAGACCAAGCTGGTCAAATATAAGCCAGTACATACATTTGGCAAATGATACCACTTTACGCTGACTGATTTATTCAGAAAACATATTGCCTGGTATTTGACCCATTCAATACAGAAGTTGAGGCAATGCCTGCAGGCCTCTGCCCCTAGGCTCTTGGGGTGCATTGCTATTCCCAGAGGTCTTCTGGGAGCTGTAGCCAAGTCTGATCATCAGCCTTGTGGGAGCAGCCTAGACCCACAGCATGTTTGTAGCAAGGACTCTGTTATTATTCTATATGAGTAAACCTCAGCAGCTTGTGCTAGGGGCCAAAAGGTGCTAACCAGACAGTGCTAGGGAGCAGTTTGAGGCATCCTGGATTACAGCTAAACTGCCACAGCATGTGGAACCGGGTGCAGGTTCTGGCTGATGCCTGGGCATAGGTACTGAGGAGAGTGGAGCCAACTACTAGGTAACCACGCGGGAGGAGCTGGGTCTCATCATTACAGGTAAATTTGGGTGCAAGGCTTGGGTACCCATGAGATCCTGGGTGTCTGTAAAGCATAAAGCCAGGTATGGTATGTGCTTTGGGTGCTGCTAGCTGCAGGAACTTGGTACCTGAGGGTGTTATGAATCGTCAGCACCCTTACAGAGGGAAGTCAGAGTAAAACTCAGGATGTCCCATAGGGAAGGTGTGGGTCTTGGGTACCTGGGGCTGGGGGATCAGCTCCTGCAAATTATCCCTGTTCTCCCCTATTCCCTTGGCTTCTCACTGAAAAACCAAGACCAAAATCAGCTGCCCAACATGCCAGTCACCCTCCCCATTCCAAAGTGCCCCGGGACACCCCAACACTCAGTCAGGAAAGATATACATGGAACATATAAATCACCATTTAAATAGACTCACTGTTTTACGCAAACACTTCCATGGATTTGTCCCACAATAATCACGGTCAGAGAGAGGGTAAAATGGTCCTTGTGAGGGCAGTGGGTCCATCTCACCCTGCCCACACTGCGTCCTGACATTCTGAAGGCCAGACGCCAGAAACACGGGTACAAGGGAGGGACCTGGTCTGCAGGAGATGGAGCTCCTGCTGCTTGGAAGGGTGTCCCAGCCTCTCCTGCTGATGGCCAACAGCAGGTTTCTGGTGGGAGTAATGGTTGGGAAGGGACTTGCCCAGAGGCTGGAAGTTGGTGGAACTCAGGCAAGAGCAGAGTCTTGCATGGAGACAAGTGGGACTGCAGCTGGGGACAGACTGACCCAGTGCCTGGGGGTGGGTGAAACTGGAGCAGGGGCAGCCTTGCTCTGATATGAGTTTGGGTGGAAGTGGGACTCAGACTCACTCTTAAGACTGGACAATTTGGACCAGGTCAGAGAAACCCGAAGTGGCTCCGAGGCTAGTGCAGAGGGACCCAAAGCCTCAACTGGCTCCAGTTCCCTCTCAGATGAAGATGGGTACAGTTCCTGATCTCCCAGAAAGGGGGAGAGAGGTGGAAGCAGGAAGACTCCTGAGGGCAGAGTGGGGAATGGGGTGGTAATACCCCTGAGGGGAACAGTCTCTGGACACACCTGACAGGCAGAACTTGGCCTGAGCCTGTGGCTTCCTGAAATGCAGAGACCATGGGAGGCCTCACTCCCTGGGCAGGGGTGGCAGGAGGGGCCTTGTCAGTCTGAGAGGAGGCTGCAGCCCCCAGAAGAGAGTCTTTTGGGGCCATTTTCCATCATCTCTTTTCCCCTAGATCAGCTTCTCCTCCTTTTGTGATGAATTTGATTTCTCCGTTTGTCTCTCATCCTCTGCTGCTGCCTCCTCTTCCTCTTTCTCTGGCTTCCTGACGGGAGTTGGGGAGTCCCCAGGGATGGTCCCCAGGACTTTGGTGCTATGCTCCTGAGCTTTGGCCCTGAGGGCAGCAATGCTGTTTTCTCTCAGTTCCTCCTGGGAAATGGTGGTTTTGGGATCCGGGCCCCTCTCTTCCTTGTCACTCTTGTCAAGCTTGGGCAGGGCGGGGCGCTCCACTTCTGTCTTCCTTCCTGCCTCAGCTGCTGCCTCCAGAGACTTTTTGTGCATCCCTAAAAAGAATTGTTGGTATTCGGGTTTAGAAAAGCGCCTGGGCATGGGAAAGCCATCTTGAACTGAAAACAGCAAAGATAAAGAGAGGCCAGAATTAAGGAAAAGCAGAAACCCTTGCTTCAAACAGCAGTCAGAGAGAGCCCATTGCTTTGGGCCCTGCATGAGGGGGAGCTCAGGCCAGTTCTCTACTAGCAGCAGACCAGCCCTGAGAGGAGAGCAGGTACCATCTCTGTGCTCAAGGCAGGTCAGCCCTGATTGGGGAGCATCAGCCAGCTCTGTGCTTGAGGCAGGGCAGATCCGGATGGTAAGACTATGTTTGCTCCGCTCCAGACAGGCTAAGCCTGAGGAAAGAGCCAATGCTCTGCTAAAGGGGCAGATGTGAGGAAACACCAGTGTGGAGCCAGTGTCTGTGAAGGGCCAGGTCTGAGACGGACATATATGCCTAAGTCTTGATGTCCCATAAGGCGACACAGTCTAAATGCCACAAAGAGACAGGGAATTTCCCAAAGGATAACTGCAAGGTAGGGCTTTGAGAGATCAAACAGAACAGGCCATCCAGTGCTGAGGAACAGTGAAGTGATGGCTAGCAGTGACAAGATGGAAAAGGAGGAAGGGCCAGCATAGCAGCCCTTTCACTTGGACAAGGCAGGTGTAGTGGGTGTTCTCTATTCTCTCATTTACAGAAGCCCTTTGCATCTTATCATCCCTTTGCCTCTGTCTCTCTCATTCACAGCCCAGCCCTCTGCCTCTCTCGCTCTCAGTTTTACAGACAGAAGGACAGGGTCGTCCATTTCTAAGGTGCCACAAGTCAGTGTTTTGGCAGAATTAGTCTGAAAGATCAGAAAACAGGAAGCAAAGAGCACAAGTGTGAAAGGGGATTTACTACATCCACATCTACACAGCCCACACACCCACCCAAGAACAACAGGCAGGAGTTTGGTGCCCTCAGCTGGAGGGAGCCGCAGGGGAACTCCACTCCAGTCCTCCAGAAAAGGGTTGTTGAGAGGACAAGTTGGCTCCCTCACCCCAAATAAAGTCACACAGGCTTGCAGGAGCTGGATCTAAACAACTTCTTCCAGCCCTTCAATGGAAACCAATTTTCTATTGACTCTGAGTCCAGGGAAATCCATACCACAGGAACTGGGGCCCAATATCCCTTATCCCATGCCAGGAGAGTCCAGGATGGTGGTCAGCAGCCTTATCTACATACTTCTTAGCTCAGGGACCAACAGCTTCACACTATGAGTCTGGAGCTGGGGACAGATAAGTCTAGACCCAGGGACTGACAGTCGCAGCTCAGGCCCCAGGAGTTGGGGCCCGTTGGCCATTAGCAGTAGCAGTGTCCCTGTGTTCTGGAGGAGAGAGCAAGTGCTCATTAATTTCCTCCCCTTATTCAGCATTTTCAGTATAGCTCAAATTTCCTTCATTTTAACTCCTTACTCCCTTGACTACTGGCTGTGCCCCATGGGCCCCATGAAGGGGACTGGTCTCTTACCCAGTAGCCAAGGGGCGCAGGACTCCATGATGCCGTCCTTGGCAGATTTGAGAATAGATTCTGGCAGCGGGATGGAGTGCCGTACCATTGCGCCATAGAGCCCATATTCGGCCATCACGCTGCTCCTGCCCCAGCACTTCTCCCGCTTCCGCCATTTGGCCCGGCGGTTCTGGAACCACACCTGCAAAGGGCAACAGAAAAGGGAGCTGCAGTTTACTGAGGCCAGGTGACTTGGCTCTTGAAGTGAAGGCTGCCCCCACTCCATGTGGGCTGAGGAGGCTGTATGTCAGCTTGCGTGTTGGTGCCTGCATGGCTTGTGACTATTTGTGCAAGTGCATGTGCATGTGAGAATGACCACATCCTCACATGCACATGCACATCCTCCTAAGGAACCAGAAGCTAAAACAATATAGATGTAAAAACATGGTAACTGCTGACACAAACCACAGGACTGAAAGGGCTGAATGGATCCAGCAAAGCACAAGTGATGGGCTAGCTTTCTTCCTGCAGCTCTGCTGATGCCCCTTAGTGCTGCCCCATGGGGACTTCCGCCTCCCTAGCAGTGGACCTCTACCTACTAAGCTCTTCCAGTGCTCCTCAGTCTCTCTGGGGGGAGAGAGCCTCCTAAGCACCATCACTATCTCCCAGGGGCAGAAGTATGCATCTCCCTCAAGGAGTGCCATGCTGCTTTTCTCCACCAGGACCCATGTCTCTCCCAGAAGGGGCTGTGCTTGTCCCACCTGAAGCAGCTGTGGCTTTCATTCCTAGGGCAGTACACAGCACATATTTTTTTCGCCCTCACAAGAGCGAAAAGGGCCAAGCTTCACAACAACTCCCACCCCTCTCTGCAGGATGTAATTAATTTCCCATTGCAGTGCCTCTTTCTAGTGGCTTTTGGCTCCTGTGCTTGGGATTTTCTCTTTCATTATTTATTGGGTGTCTGAGCTGCAGAGGGAGGCTGTGTGCAGTGATGCCGGGGGGGAGGGCTGGGCCTGGGC